TTATCCTACCGACGATCATTACTAAATTAGGTGGGATCGTCAATAACCAAATATGGTATATTCCCTGACTGTAGTATCGTATTCGTATCGTATAAAAATGGCAGATGAAAAGTTTCCTTTTATGGATTAAGAGGAAATTTTGGTTGACGATCTTATGCACGAATGCGATACAAAATACGAGAAATAGTAATAAAAAAATACATTGCATAAATGTAACTAGTAAAGAAAATTACACTGCACAAACAAATTAGGTAAAGAAGACACACCAAATTATACGTAGATCCTTAAATAATAACAGTGATTTTTACTATTTAATCTTCAATCTGGTTTGTATCTCGTTATAGGTCTGTTAATCACGTAATATATACTTTAATTAAGTATATTTTTAGATTAATCGTTAAACACGTTTAGTTCAGGATTATATTGAGGAATGTAAATCTCGTACGTACAGTACGTATGTAGAAAAGATTGAAATCGTAATCATCTAATATCACAATTTAATTCAGCTTGTATTGAAACATGAAAGACCTGTTTGCAACCAATTATAAATTCTACACTTGTGTAATCAGTATGATTGTGATAATTATTTGCATTAAAAAAAAATCTGTGCTCGGTTATATATATTACCGATCGTCGACAATTGTGTCTAAGTATCTTAGCCGTGAAGAAAATTTTCAAAGTTTGTGTGAAAATGTCTCAATAACTACTTATCCAAAATCAATAAAATTGGTTTATTTAATTTTATGAATCAACAGAATTAAAATAAAAATTTTTTTATCAATTTTAGATAAGTAGTTATTGAGATATTTTCGCTTAAAGTTTGGAAAAACTTAGCCGCGGTCTGTTTTGATAATCGGCTAAATTTTTTTTGAACTTTGAGCGATGATATCTCAATAGTTGATTATTTAATTTCTTTACCCTAATTCTATGAATCAACGTAAAAAAACATTTCATCGATTTTAAGTAATTATCGAGATATCATCGCTCAAAGTTCAAAAAAAAAAACTTAGCCGATTATCAAAACAAAGACCGCTACTAGAATTAAAGTAAAAAAAAAATTTTATCGGTTTCAGATAAGCAGTTATTGAGATATTTTCTCTCAAATTTGAAAATTTTCTTCACGGATAGGGTACTTTTATAGTCTGCTTTATTTAGCAATTTATATCAAACTCAATCTTACCATATTTAAAAGCGAATTAAAAACGTAACCATTTTCGAGTAACAACTATTTAATAATATTATGTTGGTTACGTTCTTGATTAAAAGTTGGACGGACACGCGAGTAATTTTATTCTATGTGGATGGACAAAGAAAAAAACAAATTTATGTTAATCATTGTTATATAATTCTGAAAAATCAAGAAACGATCGCGCCAACTATGGCATTTGATATAATTGACAAATTCGAGCAACCCTCTAAAAAACATTAGAATACATAGTGCGTCCTAAAAATTCAATGATAAATTATAGTATTGTAAATAAATCCATAAACAATATTCATAAAAAACTACACTCGAAAAGCTGATAGACTTGGAACAAGACGTAATATTCCATCTGTGTCACGAAATCCTGAAAATATAGATAATAAGTGTTCAATTAAGGTGATTGGAATTTTAGTAAGTTCTACCCTATAAAAAAACCAGTACACGGAAAGGCACGTATTACTACGGAGTTTGGTACGGAAGAAACACGTAATTCAATCCCTGCACGGAAATTTATACGGAACTGCACGGAAATTAATTATCGAAAAAAAATGAAAAAATTTAAACACGTAGTCATACGTAATTGTAAGGGAAAGTATACGGAAGGCATTTAAAAATATTTAAATATTTAAAAATACGTTACTACACGTAAAAGTATACGTGAAAACACGTAAAATTGCACGTCAATACGTGTAATATTGCACGGAATCTGCACCTTTTTACGTGCTTTTGACGTGCTGTTCAGTGCCCTGTCTCATGTATATTTACGTGCAATTTTGTGTTGCCTCGTATTTAAAATTCCGTGCACCCGTGCAGTGATTTCTTATAGGGCTAACATTGCAAAAACAAGGTTAATATACTGTATTTATCGAGACTAGAAGTGCAAATGGTCGATTAATACCGGTTATTATCTACTGTATCACTTAGTAACCACAATCAATATGCTAATGATAATAACCGACTAACAATGTATAACAATGATTAGTCATTCAGGTGTACGATAGTTAAATTTACATAGTATTTATTATAGATTTATAAAATTAAATATACTAAACTCCACATTACAACCCATAAACTTAAAACTACACTAACTAAACCATCATTATTTCGATCAAACAAACCATAATGACCTAATTTTATTGCTTTACTCTCATCAAACGCAAAATCAGCGGGTGCAACAGAAGTGACAGTTTCCAAGATAATCTTAGTACTTGGTGGATAGTAAGTTTCATAGGATATTGTTTCACCATCCTTGACCTCAGTAGTAGTAGTTGTATAGCCTGGAACATATACTGTAACGGTTACTGTGACTACTTTAGTTACGAATGCAGTTATTGTTTGACTATCGTAGCCTGGCGGTATAATAGTCGTGATATGATGGTCATGATTTTCTATAGTTTCGGTTTTACCGCTATCTTGTTTGTTAGTGCTTTAAAGAGAGACAAAAAAAAATGTAAATTAGTTTTTGTAATTTCTTTAAATTTGATCTTAATTATCATATAATGAAGAAACGTACTCTGTTTTACAGGATGGATTATTTGAGCAAACATCAGAATAAGATGTATATTGTTTGGTAATAGGAATTTTCTTTGCAGCAGGCGCAGCTTTGGGAGGAGTCGAAGTTTCACGAGGAGGAGGGACATATGGGGGTGATGTAGCTGGCTTATCTTTTTTAGAATCCGGATTTGATTGACCCGATTGTTGTGGGGCGGTTTGTGGTGATTGAGTTTGTTGTTGTGGTGATTGAGTTTGTTGTGGTGGTGATTGAGTTTGTTGTGGTGGTGTTTGATTTTGTTGTGGTGGGGTTTGAGTTTGTTGTAGTGGTGATTGAGTTTGTTGCAGTGGTGTTTGAGTTTGTTGCAGTGGTGTTTGAGTTTGTTGTAGTGGTGTTTGAGTTTGTTGTAGTGGTGTTTGAGTTGGTTGTAGTGGTGTTTGAGTTTGTTGTAGTGGTGTTTGTAGTGGTGTTTGAGTTTGTTGTAGTGGTGTTTGTAGTGGTGTTTGAGTTTGTTGTGGTGGTGTTTGAGTTTGTTGTTGTGGTGTTTCTTGAGTTGGTTGTTGAGTTTGTTGTGGAGTCGGTTGTTGGGTTGGTTGTTGAGTTTGTTGTGGTGGTGATTGT